CAGAGTACACATTCTTTGCAAGTGCACACAGAACATTTGCCAGAACAGACCACATATTATGCCATGAAACAAGTCTCAACGAATTCAAAAAGATCGAAGTCATACTATGCATCTTTTCTGACCACAACACTTTGAAACTAGAAGTCAGTCATAAGAAAAAATTTGGAAAGACCACAGATACAATGTAGGTTAAATAACATGCTACTAAACAATGAATAGGTCAACAAAGAAATCAAAGAAGAAGTAAAGAATTACGTGAAAATAAACGAAAATGAAAACACAACAATCCAGTATCTTTGGGGTACAGCAAAAATGATTCTTTTTTTTTTAAAGATTTTATTTATTTATTTATTTATTTATTTGAGAGAGAGAGAGCACAGAGGGGAAAGTGAGAGGGAGAAGTGAGAGGGAGACTCCCCGTTGAGGAGAGAGCACGATAGAGGGCTCGATGCAGGGTGCAATGCAGGGCTCACTGTAAGGCCCTGAGATCATGACCTGAGCCAAAGGCAGATGCTTAACTGACTGAGCCACCAGGGCGCCCCAACAAAAATGATTCTAAGAGGCAAGTTTAGAGCAGTACAGACCTACCTCAAGAACCAAATAAATCTCACCAAAAAACCCAACCTTATACCTAAAGGAGCAAAAAAAAAAAAAAAAAAAAAAAAGGAACAACAAATAAAAGCTAAACCCAGCAAAAGGAAAGAAATAATAAAGATTACAGTACAAATAAATTATAAACAAACAATAGAACCAAAAAACCAAAAAACAATAGAACAGATTAATGAAAGTAGGAACCATTTCTTTGAAAAGATCAAGAAAATTTGATTAACTTCTAGACAGACTCAGGAAAAAAAGAGAGAGAGAGAGAAAGAGAGAGGACTCAAAATCACAAATAAGAGAGGAGAAATAACAAGAAACACCTACAGAAATGCAAACAGTTGGAAGAGAATATTATGAAAAATTATATGCCAACAAAATGTACAATCTAGAAAAAAACGGATAAATTCCTAGAAACATATAATCTACCAAAACTGAAATAGGAAGAAAGAAAACGTGAACAGACCAATAACCAGCTAAGAAATTGAATCAGTAATCAAAAAACTCCCAACAAACAGAAATCCAGGACAAGATGTCTTCAGGGTCAAATTCTACCAAACATTTAAAGAATTGAAATCTATTCTCCCAAAATTCCAAAAAATAGAAGGAAGACTTCCAATTTCATTCTATGAGGCCAGTATCATCCTGATACCACAGCAAGATAAAGACACCACAAAAGAAAGAGAACTACAGGCCAAATCTCTGATGAACACGGACGCAAAAATCCTCAACAAAGTACTAGGAAACTGAATCCAACAATATACTAAGAAAATCATTCACCACGATTAAGTGGGATTTATTCCCAGGATGCAAGGGTGGCTCAATGTTCACCAATCAATCAACATGATACAAGAAAGGATAAGAACCATATGATCATTTCAATAGATACAGAAAAAGCATTTGACAAATACAACATCCACTCATGATAAAAGCCTTCAACAAAAGTCTAAAGGGAACATACCTCAACATAATAAATGTCTTATATGAAAAACCCACAGCTAATATCATCCTTAATGGGGGAAAACTGAGAGCTTTTCTCCTAAGGACAAGAACAAGACAAGGATGTCCGCTCTTACCTAGCCTCAGCAATCAGACAACAAAAAGAAGTAAAAGCCATCCAAATTGGTAAGGAAGAAGCAAACTTGTACTATTTACAGGTGACATGACAACATATATGGAAAATCCTAAAAACTCCAACAAAAAACTACTAAAACTGATAAATGAATTTGGTAAAGTCACAGGATACAAAATCATCATATAGAAATCTGTTGCATTTCTATACACTAATAATGAAGCAGAAGAAAGAGAAATTAAGAAAATACTCCCAGGGCGCCTGGGTGGCTCAGTGGGTTAACCCTCTGCCTTTGACTCGGGTCATGATCCCAGGGTCCTGGGATCAAGCCCTGCATCAGGCTTTCTGCTCAGCAGGGAGCCTGCTTCCCTGCTCCCCTCTCTGCCTGCCTCTCTGCCTACTTGTGACATCTGTCTGTCAAATCAATAAATAAAATCTTTAAAAATAAGAAAAAAGAAAAAAAAGAAAACATTCCCATTTGCACCAAAAACAAAAAAATATCTAGGAATAAACTTAACCACAGTGGTGAAAGACTTGTACTCTGGAAACTATAAAACACTGGTCAAAGAAACTGAAGACAACACAAAGAAATGGAGAGACATTCCACGCTTGTGGATTGGAAGAACACCATATTGTTAAAATGTCCATACCACCCAAAGCAATCTACAGATTTAATGGAACCCCTATCAAAATACCAATAGCATTTTTCAGAAACTACAACAAACAATCCTAAAATTTGTATGGGACTGCAAAAGGCTGTGAGTAGCCAAAGCAACTCTGAAAAAGAAAAAACTGGAGGCATCATGATTCCAGACATTAAGTTTTATTACAAAGCTGTAGCGATCAAAACAGTATGGTACTAGCACAAAAACAGACATATAGATCAATGGAACAGAAGAGAAAACCCAGAAATAAACCCACAATTACATGGTTAATTAATCTACGACAAAGCAGGAAAACAATAGGAAATGGGAAAAAGATAGTTTCTGCAACAAATGGTGTTGGGAACACTGAACAACAGAGACCACTCTCTTTCACCACACACCAAAATAAACTGCAAGTGGATTAAAGACCTAAATGTGAGATCTGAAACCATAGAAATCCTAGAAGAGAGAAGACGGTAATTTCTCTAACACCAGCCACAACAACATTTCTCTAGATATGTTTCCTGAGGCAAGGGAAACAAAAGCAAAAATAAACTACTGGGACTATATCAAAATGAAAAGCTTTGGCAGAGCAAAGGAAACAATCAACAAAACTAAAAGGTAACTTACGGAATGGGAGAAGATACTTGCAAATAGTATCTCTGATAAAGCATTAGTATCCAAAATATATAAAGAATGGATACAACCAACACCCAAAAAACAAAACAACCCAATTAAAAAAATGAGCAAAAGACATGAACCTTTTTTCCAAAGAAGACATGCAGATGGCCAACAGACACACTGAAAGGTGTTCAGCATCACTCATCATTAGGAAATGCAGATCAAAACCACAGCGATGTCATCACCTCACACCTGTCCGAATGGCTAAGATCAACAACACAAGAAACAACCAGTGCCGTTGAGGATGTAGAGAAAAAGGAACTCTCCGTGCACACTGTTGTGGGAATGCAAACTAGGTGCAGCCACTGTGGAGAACAGTACAGAAGTTCCTCAGAAAGTTAAAAATGGAACTACCCTAAGACCCAGGAATTGCATTACTGGGTATTTACCCAAAGAATTCAAGAATCCTAATTCAAAGGGATACGTGCACCCCTATGTTTGCAGCAGCATTATTTACAACAGCCAAACTGTGGAAGTAGCTCAAGTTTCCATCAACTGATGAGTGGATAGAGATGTGGCATACACACATACACACACACGTGCACATGCATGCACACGCGCGTGCGTTCACACACACACACACACACAGAGGAATATTATTCAGCCATAAAAAATGAAATCTAGCCATTTGCCATGACACGGATGGAGATATAGAGTATTATGCTAAGTGAAATAAGTCAGAGAAAGACAAATACCATAGGATTTCCTTCATAGGTGGGATTTAAGAAACAAAACAAATGAGCAAAGGGAAAAATAGAGAGAGAGGGAGACAAACCAAGAAACTGATGATCACCAGAGGGGAGGTTGGTGGGGGGGGGGTTAGGCAGGTGATGGGGTTGACGCGTGTACTCATCATGACAAGCTCTGAGTCAGGTAGAGAATGGCTGTATCGCTGTATCATACATCTGAAACTCTTAACACTGTATGTTAATGGTACAGGAACTGAAATTAAAAACTCATAAGAAAAAAAAGGAAGAAGGCGTATTCCTGATCAATCCATAGGAGTTTATCATTAATTTTGAACAAGATTCTGCAGTTAACACATTCATTCTAAAACACTTTTCCCTACGTATTATTTACTTAGAAAGAAATATATTGTTTTATTTACATACAAGTATCCTGGGGACCTAATTTGTGTAATTTTGTAATTCACTCACCATTGTTAAGACTGGCAGACGATTTCATCATTTCTGCCAAATCCAGGTCACATCCCAGTTCCCCGCGGCACCAATGCCTAGAGGCTGAGGCACCTTTTAAGTGGGACATCAGATATCTAGTTGAGAACTACCTAAACTCACCCAAAAATAATAAATGATACCAATGGCTTCTCGAGATTTGCTCATAAGGTATTTAATTAGCCCTGATGCCCCATAATGAGAATTGTGAAAAAATTATTATAATTGTCACAATATTATTATAAAAATCCATGAGATACATATGTGCAATGAGCTTCATTACTGCTGTTAGAAACTCCTTCCTGTCCACTTCTCTTTTCACCTAATATCTCCCTTCCCACATCCTAGGGCTGCCTCTCCCTATCCACTCACCCACTGTCAACTTGATTCACATCCACAACCAGTCCTGGGGTCAGTTTCCATTCTAGATGTGAAGCCACTGGTCACCTCTCCAGCTTCTCCTCTCCCATAGCCAAGAGGAAGAAAGGATTGCTGTGTTTCCCGCAAACAGTAAGTCACATGGCAACCCTCTAGTGCCTTGGATAATTGAGAATTGACTGCCTCGTCACCAAATGTTCTCTCCTTTTAAATGCCTTATTACCTTCCATTTCAACCAGGGACCCAGCCGAGAAACCATCCGTCAGTGCCCATTTGGCCTGGCTTCAAAGGGACAGGAATCTCTCCTACCAGGCCTGCTAGAACTGCACCCTCCTGACTACAGACCTCAGAAAGCAACCATGAACTCTTATGCCCAACGGACTCTGAAGGACATCTCCCCACATCCTGTGCTTGGCATTTTCTGGGAGGCAATGAGACTTCACCTCCACCTACCAGCTGTCTGGAACCCGATGATGGCCGGTACGGAGCGTGTGGGAGGAGCGGTAGAAATGCTCATGGTGTAGTTGGTGCCTTGGTGCAGATCTAGGCACACTTCTGGGGTCCTGCTTTCTGTGGTCACGTTGACTGTCTCCTCATGAACTGATTCCATAGAGTACAACCGTTGTCCCTTTATGTATATCTTTGGCGGGGGGGGGGGGAGAGAAAAAAGAACCCACTGTGACTCTGGTGAAAACAAGGGAGAGAGACTGGGTGGAACTGAATCCCATTGTCCTACTATTTCCTTTAATCCCACACTGTGCTCGTAGGGGAGATGAACAAGGTCAGCCTCTGCTATCAGGTATCAAGGCCCATCAGCCCAGTTACCAGTGAACTCTAAGAAATGACATAAAATGAGGAGTCCCTCTAGGGAGGGTTATGCTGCATGCAAAGGACCAGCCATCCATGGAGGCCGTCACACCCTGAGAACCACTCGCTGCCTCCTGTCCCTGAAGCAGCAGATGCTTCTCCTCTTCTGGGGGCACGAGGTTCGAGTGCTGGGAAACCAGCAGTCATGATGATGCCAAATATAAAATTATGCCCACACATTACCCCCCCCCCCCGCTGGAGGACACATATATTAAACGCAGAATGTAAAATAAAATAAACCAGATATCTGAAAAAAAAAAAATCTGATCACTTTTGAAAAGAACAGTCAGACGATTAGGTGGAGAAGCCCTCATGAAAGGAAATCTCTCCAAGTCATGCTGCCAGAGGGAAAACGTGGAACATTTTACTTACCACGTAGACAGTCTTGGAGAGGATGCTTCCTGGGTTTACCTGCCACCTCACACAGGTGTTATTAAACACTGATACAGCACGGATTTCTGTAATTATTTCTGAAACAGAAAAAGAGCCCATTCACAAAATGCCATCAGCGGCCTTTGGCATGACTTAGTTTCTCGGTACTGCTTGTATCTCCGCTAATCACTGTTCAGAGGTCTGATTCAGACACCAAATCAGGCCATTCAAACTGCCCCAGGCCAAGCACCCCATTTATCTCCATCGAGAATGAGTCTGGCCCATTACCTGACTTGGATGAGAAGAAAAGCTAGGTACCCACTTGAGAATGGCTAAGAACTCCAAGCTGTGATTGGCCTGGTAGGCCACTGGATGCCACTGGCGTTCCACTCCTGTGGGATGGAGAGAGGGCCCCCAGCTGCGCCCTGACTCCTCCCGGCAACTGCTCCGGAAAGAAGTGTTTCCGGCTTCATCCCACCTGGCTGACAAAACACTCTTATTGCCAGGTCACTGCTGTCCGGAAAAGGGGCAGCAGTCCCCACACAGGGCCATTCCTTAGGAGCAGCTCAGAGTAATTGAAATAAATTCTCCATAACCTCCCCAGATATTTCTGGGGCTGCTCTAACTGAAGCCATTTAATTCTGACTTATCGGAAAGCCACTGATTTCTCCAAGTTGTCCGGCTTTTTAAAAATATTCTGTGTGGGGGCACCTGGGTGGCTCAGTGGGTTAAGCCTCTGCCTTCAGCTCAGGTCATGATCTCGGGGTCCTGGGATCGAGCCCTGCATCAGGCTCTCTGCTCAGCTCTCTCCCCCTACTTATCTGCCTACTTGTGATCTCCGTCTGTCAAATCAATAAATAAATCATATAATAAATAAATAAACAAATACATATTCTGTGTGTATTTCATGTAATAACTTTGGCAAATTGGGAAACTGTATTAAGGCCTTGGTTCTGAGGTCACAGTTCCCAATGGACGGTATTGACTCTCTGTCCTTCCCGGCTCTACTCCCAGGACCCCTTACCCCTGCTTTCTGGGATGTCATTCCCCATCATGTAATAAATGTAAGCCCTGTGCCTCAGGCTCTGTTTTCTGGGAAACCCAAAGTAAGATTCCCATCAAGAGGGTGAGGAAAAATAATTCTCCATCTCAGAAATTTCAGCTCTCCCTCTCAGTTCTCTCTCTTTGCCTCTCCCTTCCTCAGCCTCCAACATGGGAAAGAGAGCCTGCACATCGGGCACTGAGTACGGACTCATTTCCCTTGCAGCCAGAACTAATGCTACCGTTAGACAGACCCTGGTCTAATGATGATCTTTTTGCCATACAAGACTTTACATCTTTGGGTGGCTCAGCTGTTGGGCGACTGCCTTTGGCTCAGGTCATGATCCTGGAGTCCAGGGATCATCAGGTCCTGCACCCAGCTCCCTGCTCAGTGGGGAGTCTGCTTCTCCCTCTGAACCTCCCCCCCCTCTCATGCTCTCTCTCTCGTTCTCTCTCTCTCTAATAAATAAAATATTTAAAGAAAAAAAGAGATTTTACATCTTTACTAAATCATCCATCAGCAGCATTACTGGGTCTTGGCTAAGCCTAGGTCAGGCTGTCAGTAAGTGAGAATAAATATAGGCAGATAGAGAAAACAGACCAATTCCTGAGAGACACCAGAGGATCACCTATGGCTATCTAAAGCATTCCCGGGTCTCTACATCAATAATTCTCTCAGAGCACAGGTAAAATGAAATCAAAGAAATACTCCAGTTGTGGACATGGTACCCCAACAGAGACAAAGATCCTATCTGTTCACCCCCTTGGGGAGCATGAAGATGATGCTGGTGTCAGTGTTTTATCAGCTTGAACAAGCCCCAAATACTCTGGCCCCTCCCTTCCCCATCACCCTTCAAAGGTGTTAGAGCCCTGGACTCCTCTGCTCCCTCACACATCCCTCTGAAACTAACTCACCACCTGGTCCAGAAGTAAACGGAAAGAGACCCCCCTCACCTTGTCTCTGACTGCCAGTAAAGCAAATTTCCTTCTCACTGGGGACCCCTTTGCCACCCAAACAGAGATGAGAAAGGAGACATGAAAGTTTCCTTTCTTGTCCTTCCTTTTTGCTCATTCACTATGACAACAGCAAATGATATCTCAAAATTGCCATCTGCCTCCTGCCTGTGCCATGCTCTCTTGCACAGATGGGACCAAGATCTGATTACAGGGATGTCAGATAGCTCATCCCAAGGAGCAGTTTAACAAAATGCAGTTGCTTTCCCCTCCAGGTGTCTACAAATCAGCTGGAAAGATCTCTTTATAAACCCATCAGATAGTAAACATCACATAAATGCTGCTCCCTTAAAGAGATACCCTAATTCTAACAGTACTGATAACTGAACACATTTCTGGAAGTTCTCTTTGGAACTGACTCCAGGGCTCTTTCTGCCACTCACTGAATGATTACCAAATGCCAAGCATCCTCCCATGCCAGGCACTGGGCTATGACAATAATTAGAACAAAAGTCCTTCCCCCAGGAACATGTTGTCTAATGGAGGGAGCAAACATGTAAGCAGGGAAATTAGAACCCGATAAATTGTAGAACAAAGTTACACACAAGTACCATGGGGTCTAGAGAAAGAAGCCACCCACCCTCACTGGAGGGTCTGGGGAAGCCGGCTTTGTGGAGGGCATGACCTTGATGGGTAAAAGGCTAAAGAGTGGAAGACACATCTAAGCAAACAGACAGCAGGGCTAATGCGTGGAACTGTAAGGGGCTGTGGCATATTCTGGGTGCTAAGAAGGAGACAAGACAGGATCAGACGGGGAACGACCCCACTTGCCACGCTAAGGGCAGACGTATTCCTATAAGCAATGGGTAGCTAAAAGCAGGAACATAATGGTGCTTTTTTTTTTTCCTTTAGAAAGATAACTCTGGCGTTTTGCAAAGTAAACATTGGAGTAGAACTGGAGATCATAAGAACAGGATACTCTTTACCCAGCGACTATAAGATGCCAAACACTGATAGATCTTTAAAGATCAGATCCTACCTGAATTGCAGTCGTAAGAAGCAACAGCAAACATTTACTGAGTTATTATTATATACCCGATAATATGTATAGAACTTTAAAAGCGTCGCTTATTTAATCTTCAAAATAGCTCCAGGATAATAATTTCATAACATGTCATACCATCACACTGTGTGCCTTAAACTTATGCAGGAATGTATGTCATTATTTCTCAGTAAAACTGGGGGAAAGTATATTAAAAATTAATTTAAACTAAGCCCATGAGCTTAATATTATTATGTCCATTTCCTAGACCTGAGGCTTGGAGAAGTTACACAACCGGCCAAAGGTCATGCGGGTTGTAAGGTTACAATGAGTCAAGTCAGGATTCAGAACTAGGACTGCCGGACTCCAGGGCCAGGAGAGGCTGGGGGGCACTGTGGTGCAGTGTTCAGCAGGGAGGAGGAGAGGGGGCCTGGTGGCTGGGTATGAAAGCCATAAGACAACTCTAAAGGAGAAGCAGTAGAAGGTGAGTGATGGGGAACAGCCGGGAAGTTGGATGACTGCTAGCCTTTGAGCTTGAGAGTCCGAATGGATTGCCTTGTACTCTTGTCCTGAGAAACAGAGGAGGAAGCACCCTGGGGTTGGGAGAAAAAGACCAACGAACTGTGTTTAGAACATGCTAGATAGGAGTTATCTACAGACTATCCAGGTGAAAAAATCATCTCCAAAGTCAGCAAGGTGTGGATGGTCTTTGATACTAAGTGTGGGGTAGCATCCAGGGAGGATACGGAGAGCAGCCCAACGGCAGAACGCGGAAAACATGGCCCCCAAGAGGAAACAGAGCAGAGGACACAGAGCAGAAACCCCAGAGGACACAGAGCAGCAGAGAGGCGGGGAGACTGACTGGAGGTGGGACACTTGGAGGTCAAGGAAAGGAGATGGGAAGGAGTGTCTGCTTCCTCCAAAGTTATCTCCCTTCCTTCCCACCAATTCCCCACAACCCCCTCACCTCTGACCCAAGAAGCACCAGGGAAAACCTCTACCTCTTTCTTCTTTCACATGGTTCCTGGTCCCCTGACAGAGCACGCAAAGTGCCATGATGAGCTGTGAAGCTTGACTTTGGGTGGAGGTACGGAGAGCAGGCCTGGGTCTTGTCCAGTGACATATATGTATGTACGTGTATGTATCTATGTATGTATTTTAGTATTCTACTAGCACCCAGCATTTATTTCTCTGAAGTACTTATCACATCTACAACTGAATAATTCTGTAATTGGTTACTTAGTGTCTGTCTCTCCTGCATGTAAGCTGTATGACAGCAAAGACCAGGCTTATCTTTCTACCCCCAGAACCTAAGAGAGTACCTTAGATACTTGTTTTAATATTTATTATTTGGTTGATTGGCTGAACGGATGGATGAATGTATGGATAGGTAATCAACAATAGTAAATGTTGTGGGAAGGTTAAGAGGACTGAGGAGTGAAACTAGAAAAGGAAGCTGACAGGTGGTCACTAGGGAGCTCCGGGAGAGAGCTACAGTGGAGTGAAGGCTCTGGGTGGCTGACTGTAGGCTGGGAAGAGAAGTAGGGAGGAAGGAGACAGAGGCAGTGGGCATACACCACACTTAGGAGTCCCACTGTGGACAGTGACTGACTCAGCAGACTCTTGGTTTCCAACTTTATAACCTTCTCAAAAAACTTATATATAACCTATAACCCTCTCTATTTTTGGAAACAGTAAAAGATCATTGAGAATAAGTTCAGGTGATCCAAGCAGATAGTCAAGCTCAGTGTCATTTCTCATCAAAAACCTGATTTCCAAATGACTGATCGTCTACTATGACTCACAAACTACTTCCAAAGGCAATTCCCAAACACAGATTACAAAACAGATACATTTTGATAATGGCAGCACCCCTGAAATTGAAGTGACTACTTTGAATAAGTGTATGCTTGGCCATAAAAGTTCTACTATCTGTCCTTTCCCATTTTTCAGTCTTCAGAGTCACGTACGGTAGGTAGAAGTAGCAGGACTTAGAGGAACGCTTTCCTAAAATGCATTATACACCTTAGGATGACTTTCTTGTGGCCCATGAATAAAGTGATGTATGTTTGCTTATACTGACTTTTGTGTATATTAGAAAAAATATACACAGTTCATCCAAATCATAATATCACATACCCTACAAAGTGTCTTTGATCAATACATTTAAATTATGATTTGAAATTTAAAATATAAGGTTTTTAAAGAAACCTATTAAAAAAAATAATACTTTTGTTACAGCAAAATCATCAGGGTGTAACACATGACTCAAGCTTGGGAAACACTGGTAGGACAGAGATCGTGGGCTTTCCAGGTGTCCAGACTGAAGTTCAAGTCCCACCTCTGCCATTTACTAGTTACTGAAGGACCCTGTGAACGTTGCCTAACTTTTACGAGTCTCAGATTACTCACCTATGAAATGAAAAATACCAATACTTATTTTACAGGGTTTCCCTGAGGACAAAATGAAACGAAGCACGAATACCCCCAGCAGAGCCCTGGGCATGCAAGTTGGTACCCAGCCAAAGGTAGCTATCAGGCTTGACAGTCCAAACATTATACACATATTCAAACAAATCCCAGCCATGTGGCTATTTATATCAATGTGTCCATTTATTCCAGCTGACCTTTGTTTTCCATCTGAATTGCATTACCGCTGCAAGTGAGCAGTCACTAGGCTGAAAAGGAAGATCAACAACACAACTGAGGGGCAGAGGCTAACGGGAGGCCTGGAGGCACTTAGACTCAGGACCTGAGTTGGGTTGGAGGGGGGCTCAGAAAGCATCACAGCCAATACACAGTCTGTGTTTCCATAGTGATGTTACCCTTCTAAGAGCGCAGCTTGACTGAGCATCAACCTTATAATTATTAACTCAGATTCTAAACACGAGAAGCCAAACGACCCGAGCAGAAGGAGAGCCAGGGACAGTCTTATCAAGAATGAATCAGCCTCTTTGATCTTGAGGTAAACCAACCCACTTAAACATCAAGCTTCCACCTGGGGTTTTTCCAGACACTAAAATGGTTTCCTAATTGTCAGCTGTCTGGAGGTTCCAGTTCAAACTGGCCTTAAAGAAAAAGAAGGGGGAAAAAAAAATAGTCCCACCACTTTGCCAGCGTTCACACTCCATTAAAAACATACACAGATCCATGCTGCTCCTCCAAAGAGACAAGGCCTCCGAAAACATTCTTAACTAAAAACAATCCAGGTGAAGTGAAGACAGATTATTCCACTGAATTTGGAACTCAACACTCAAGTATAAAGAGAGGGGTAAACAGAATGAAAACAGAGAAGAGTCAGAAGAGGGTTCAGCTGGGCAAGAGCCGTGGAAATCAGCCTCTCGCGCTACATTTCCAGAAGCCTCTCCCCTACCTACCCACCCAGACCGTGTGCGCGGCACCGTGAATTAATCAGCACGTAAATCACTGCCTTTGTCTGCGGAAATTGAATTTAGCTGCCAATCTTGATTGGGGGCATAGAGGCATCCTCCCAGAAAGATCCCAGCTCTCAGGGAAAATGCCTTTTCTCTCCTTAAATCAAAGCTTGCATAAACCCAGGGAAACAGCTGCCGCTGGAGCCACAGACTTTGTGAAAGGTGGCAGGCTGAGGACGGTAATTATAATTAGCAGTTACATAACGTGTTTGTTCTTCAAAGTGCTCTACAAGCATCAGCTAATTAATAGCTTACTATGCCCCATGCGGATCCACTGGTTTTTCATGTAGTGACTAATCCCTGTACCCCCACTGAACTCTGAACGGGGGAGGCAGAGCCGCCTGAGCCACGAAGCCAATGGCAGAGGGTCCAGAAGCTATGCCCGGCTCTCTAATCAAGGGATTCCATAGGGATCTCAGGGCCAGGAACACTTCCCCCAAATGTTTAACTCGGCATCCCATGAGACAGCTGCCTCATTGCCTCCAAACAATTCTTAGAAGCGCTACTGAGATACACTAATAGAATGGAATGGCCATCAGTCTGGTCCAATACGGCATGAGCTCCTCTCAATTTCCCTAATGAGACTGGGACTCTGGAGTCCTTGGTTAGTTACAGGACCGCCCTCGCTTCTCTCTGCAGGTAGGGTTAAGTCAACGAGAACTCCCTAAGAACAGGTTGAACTTGATCACTGGGTTCCCACCCACGTCTACCCTTCTTTGTTTCTATGCTCACAGTCTCTGGCCTACATCCTCTTCCGTCTGAGGTAGAGACGACCCAAGGTGGGAACTGCGTGGCATAGATGCCTCCAGTAGCAGCACTGAATTCTTCACCTGTTTCAGGGAAGTCCTTGAAAATCCTGAGTCTGTAAAACATTTCACATATGTGCATTTCTTTGGAGATAAGTCTGTTTACCCTGTTGTCCCATTCATTGAGGAAAGTACCTCAACCATAGTGTATGCTGAATGGGTACCTATTAAGTCAATTTGATAGATTTCACCAAATTCCTATGCCCCGCATGGTTAGGAACCATTGCTCCATGGATAAATAATCACTAGCAGTCCCCATGTTTCACTTGCTCTGGCTGGACTTTCCTATGGAAAGCTCTGACCGGCAAGACCCAAGACATGCTACCACAGTTTTGCTGCAGGTCAAACCAGAGACCCAGCCCAAAGCTACCTTGAGATTTCACTCTTCAGAGATCTGTCACTAGAACCAAGCACGTCAACATCTAGAAACACATTCCCCAGAGCAACCGTTTGTCACACCCTGTGCCTAACCCTCACAAACAGAGTCACTGCCTTCTCCCACCTTGTCTCTTGGAAGCAGTGCTATGAACTGAAACATGAGGAAGTGCTTACTTGTGACTCATGAGAAGACCTTCTTCAAGACAGGCCAATAATTTCAGTAAAAGACCTAACAGGTTCAAGGTGCTTTAGACTTTTCAAAGTGCTCCCCATAAATGGTCTCATTCGATTCCCTCCCAATAACTCTTGAAATAGGAAAAGGAGACTTTATTTTCCCCCTTTTATAGACAAAGAAACCGAGGATCTGTGCAAGTCACACCTTACCCGATGACACACAGCCCACAGATGACACTGCTGGACTTTGAACTGATGTCTCAGAACCCCTTTTCACCAGGAGCCCCATTTGGGGCATATACCCAAAAGCAATGAAAGCAGGCTCTCAAAGAGATATCTGCATGCCCATCCTCACACCAGCACTGTTCACAATGGCCGGAAGGTGGACGCAACACAAGTGTCCGTCAGTGATGAATGGATCAACAAAATGTGGCAAATACACACGACGGAATGTTATTCGGCCTTTAAAAAGAAGGAAACCCCGCCATTTGCAAAATCACGGATGAACCTGCAGAACATCATGCTAAGGGAAATAAGCCAGTGACAGAAGGACAAACGCTGCCTAATTCTGCTTATATGAGGTATCTAAATTCGTCAAATCCACAGAAAAGTAAAATGGTGGTGCCATAGGGAGGAGGAAGTGGGGAGTTACTGGTTAATGGGTACCGAGTTTCAGTTTTGCAATATGAAAAGAGTCTGGAGATGGGTTTCCCAACAGCGTGAATACACTTGATACTTTAAAATGGTTAAGGCGGTAGACTTCATGTTGTGTGTGTTTGACCACAATTAAAATTTTAAAAACAAACATTAAAAAACCTCTTTACCCATTACACCACCTTTTCTTTGAAAAGCTGCCAACATGGGCTAAGTTAGGACTTTCCAGTATGCTCCCGGAGAAAACGGTTCACGGAGAAACATTTCTCAGCCAGCCACGTAGAGGAGACGGGAATCACTGTGATTTCAGGTGAGTTGCAGAAGACGATGCCCAAGTTTATTCTTCCAATCCACCCTCTAAATCTTCAGGATTTAGCCAACACACCTAAAGCCAAGTGCTCACTCAGGTAAATGCCACAGCCAGGCACAATACACCCAGGAAGCGGTGGGACTGCTGGCGGTCCCCAGCTCCTATGGGCTGTTAGCTTCCAGGAAACAGAAGCCCCACAGAACAAAAGCCTATACCTGTGCATGTCAAAGCACTTTTCCTCCAAGTGCCTTTCTCCGTGCAGACAGAAGTGATCTTTCCCCCAGCACTCTCAAAGCCCTCTTGACAGATATAGTGAGCCACACTGCCCGGGCTGGAGCTGTGATTCCCCACCAGCACTGCATGGTGCACTTCCGGAGGACGGCCGCACTTGATCTCTGCAAAGGGAAGAAGCACAGCACTAGTTACAACCCCCAGCTTCTAGCCCTATAGTTCACATTTTAGGAAAAAAACATTTTGCCACAATAGAGCCCCCTCATATGCGAAAGAGAAAACATGAACCCCATCAAATAACCCAGCTGCAGATACAGAAGATTGTTCGGGAGATGCCTGGGTGGCTCAGTTGGTTAAGCGACTGCCTTCAGCTCAGGTCATAATCCTGGAGTCCCGGGATTGAGTCCCACATCGGGCTCACTGCTTGTCAGGGAGTCTGCTTCTCCCTCTGACCCTCCCCCTTCTCATGCTCTCTCTCTCATTCTCTCTCTCTCGAATAAATAAAATCTTAAAAAAAAAAATAAGAGGATTGTTCGGAAAAAAAAATAAGAGGATTGTTCGGAAGTAGAAAAAATAGACATGCCCCAATTCAGTGAAACTTAGAAACGTGTACACGAAGAAAATATTCCAATTGTAAGATTATTTACATTACAGAGAATTCTTTGGTCAATGAAACAATCCATCTGAGGTTCTTTTAAATATTAAGATTTTCAGGTACTTTTTCCTATGTATCATGAGATCACAAACTCCTAAGTAGATGATAACATAATTATTGTTTTGTTGCCAACTGATTATTAAATGAAATAGATACAAAATCTTTGAACTTTTAAAGCAAATTAATAGGGAAAGATATATATAGTCTAAACATTCACTTTATGTTTCTATAAAGGAAAAAAAATCAGCTGCATAGAAGGAGACAAGCCTAGAGTTATAAAACTGATTTGAAATTTCTTCTCTGCAGCTCTGACTACTAAAGCACACTAGAATATTTACAGAAACTATCTAAAGGAAATGGATTATGACGCTACCATTTCAGACTCAGCCAAACTTTACTTCATGTAAGAGTAGAAGAAAGTCATCTTCAAATATTTTGCAATTTTTGAAAATCCACATGTTTATCTTTTCTGTTAAAAAACACCCTCCAGCCCAACAACAACAATAAAATGAACCAGAATTAATATCCTAAAAGAAGGGGAGGGCAGGTTTTAGAAGAAACACTAGCAAGCAATGAAATGTAAATGATGTGTAGGTTAAGTCTCCATAATCATTTAAAATGTGACTAGAGGGATGCCTGGGTGGCTCAGTCAGTTAAGCGTCTGCCTTAGGCTCAGGTCATAATCCCAGGGTTCTCAGATCGAGTCCTGTATCAGGCTCCTTGCTCAGTGGGGAGCCTGCTTCTCCCTCTGCCTGCCACTCCCCTGCCTGTGTTCTCTCTTCCTGACAAAATTTAAAAAAAAAAAATTTAAATGTGGCTGCAGAGCTTGATATAACTAGGAGTAAAGGATTCTACAATAAAAAGTTGAACAGTGTAAAAAAGGAATAATTTGAAAATAAAATTCCAAATTATTTCAAAAACTCTGAGCAATGAGGCAAAGGGAAGAAACGAACATGCCAAATTCCTCACGAAGTCGTGGGAAGTTCATACACACAATTTTATTCAAGAAAGCATAATAAGTCTAAAATAAGAAGGCCATAGTCATTGCAAATAGAGCCAAGAGTCCCAGTTATACCCAAATACAGAGAAAAAAATATATATAATTTCTGCTGTTCACTCTAATGTTTAGTTTTCTCCCCAGTATGTAGGAAGCCAAGAAAATCACACAGTCTTGACATGCAGGCTTTTCAAATATAAGGGTAAAGTGCCTCTGACCCTTGGTTCCAGCTCAGGTCCTGATCTCAGGGTCTTGATATCAAGCCCTGTGTTGGAGTCTGCTTGAATTTCTCCCACCCTCTCCCCCTGCCCCTCCTGCTTGTGCTCTTTCTCTCTTTCAAATAAATAAATCTTTAAAAAATAAAATAAAATGTAAGTGCATTTATTGAGACAAAGAACTCAAGATAGAGAAAATGGTATGATCTGTTCCCAACTCCCCAACAACCATTCTTGGCCTTAGAAACAGGTAGCTTCTCTTAAATGAGCTTCTGATACAGAACTGGCGGATTTAATGGGACTGCACATGGCTCTGCCCCACTGTGGATGATTGGTTTGTTGTAGAACCCCAGAGTTCTTTCCCAGAGCAGGCTTTCATCTGTTGAATTGAAGTTTCATGAGAACATCAATATAACAGCTCAACCCACCCGGCCCAGTCTCTTGGGTCTGTGATTTTTTTTTTTTTTTGAAAGATTTTTACTGATTTGTTTGATGGAGAGAAAGAACACAAGCAGGGGGAGAAGCAGAGGGAGAGGGAGAAGCAGGCTCTCCACTAAGCAGTGAGCCTGACGTGGGGCTTGATCCCAGGGCCCTTGAGATCATGACCTGAGCCAAAGGCAGACACTTAACCAACTGAGCCACCCAGGCGCCCAGGCTCTGGGATTTTAAAAAAAGAGTTAGTCTCTGGTCAGTGTAGATTCACATCATCAGCAGTTATGGGACCAGAACAAGGTGGTCATTTCATAAATCCTCCAACCCTGCCCACCTCAAAAGTCCCATACTTGCTCATAGGGATTTATTCCCTTTTCATACATGTTTACCAGACACAAGGCTTCTTAGCCCTCATCATGTTTTTCCCGGCACCAAACCTTTAGATGTATCAACCAGCCCAAAACAAGACATGAGTATATTTGTGTGTACCTGGGCAACCAACCGAACAGGTGGTTAATGTTTCATAAGGCTGCCCAGTCACTGTTGACATCCAAAATATCTTCTAGTTAAAACCCGGGTTTCGCTATAGCAGGAAATAGAGGGAACAGCAGTGAAGAGATTGAGTGTAAGGGTTTATGTAGGTTTATGGACCTTGAAGCTGGAATTCTAAACAGCACATTGGAGAGGTTTGGGAAGGAACCTAGTGATAGATCATTGGGTTAAGGGAGAAGCACAGATTCTAAACGTATAAGAGTACAGAAGATACCTATGTTGGCTTCCAACTTTGGACGTGACTAAGAATAGTGGAAGCCATGTAAAAATATAAGATTTTTAAAAATTCATACCAAAAATATTAATTTGGGAGTTGATGAGAGATCAGTAGCTCAGTCTCTGGGGACTATAGTTCAGAGACTCAGGGAGATGTCCAGTGGTGGGCAACCATGACTTGGTGAGTTCCCGTACCATAGCTACTCAAGATGGATAGTCCCTTGGTGAGAGATAGAGTGGATTCTAGCATGACTTGGATTAAACACATGGTTCTAAACAGCAGCTGTACATCTGAACTGCCTAGGGAACTTGGAAAGCACAGCCTCCCCTTACCCAGAGATAAGTCTTCCGAATCAGTAGTATGGAGTTGGGTTCTTGGCATCCACATTTCTACAAGCTTCCAAGTTTGAGTTTTATGCACACGCTCAGCTCAGAACCTAAATTAAATACTAGTAGGAATAGCTACCATTTATCATCACATGCTTGAGGGCTTAATGTCTTTCTCTGAATATATTATGTCTTCCCAAATACATGGTCAGTCTGGAAAGAACAGAATCTTTATTTGATCATCTCCTGCACTCCCACAAAGCCTACTTAAAATAATACGTTTTGCATAGTAAATACAATAAATAATTGTTCATCGATAGCTTGCCACTACTTTATCATTGTTTGAGATGTAACAATTGTTCCTTTGATATGAGTAACAGCCCCTGAGGAAAGAAAGAGGCATCAGGAAATTTTAAGTATAAATAACAAGACAGGTACACATTACCTTTACATTTGTTATCCAACAGAGGGAACTCACACCTACCAAACGCCACGTAGATGAAAGTGGAATAAAAGACTCATAAAAACTAATATCAGTGTTGTACCAGGGAATTCTGGGAATGGTGTTCAAACCTCAATCATTTTATTTTATTTTTTTTAAGATTTATTTATTTATGGGGGAGCCAGGTGGTGGGTATTTTGGAGGACACATATGACGTGGTGCATAAACAATGAATTCTGTTACGCTGAAAAGAAATTAATTTTTTTAAAAAAGATTTATTTATTTATTTATTTATTTGACAGACAGAGATTACAAGTAGGCAGAGAGGCAGGCAGAGAGAGAGGAAGAAGCAGGCTCCCCACTGAGCAGAGAGCCCAATGCAGAGCTCGATCCCAGGACCCTGGGATCATGACCTGAGCCGAAGGCATAGGCTTTAACCCACTGAGCCACCCAGGAGTCCCGAACCTCAATCATTTTAATCATAATAGCATTCATCAAAGTCCTACTAAACATGTCTATTAAATATATACTATCTCATTTATTCATCAAAGAAAACCTTGCAAGGTACATGGTTTCTTCCTCACAAAGTTTAAAGGTATGAATATGGAGCTTAAGAGCCCCTCAGAGCTCCTAAGAGCTAAAGTCATGTTCAAAAGTCCACCACCGATAGAAGACAGAGCCAGTACTCAAGCCGTGGGATGTATGACCCCAAACTCCAGGTCCATTAAATCTAGGGAGCCTCACAGTGAAGGGGTCAAGTCTAGGCCCTGAATAGGACTGAGCTGAGAAGTTAGCTAAAACCTCAGGAGAAAAGGTTGCATAATGAAGCATTCAAATCAGATGGAAGAGTTCTTAAACTCCCTCTTCCAAATCTTGTCTCCCACAGCTTTCCCAGAGCAAGATAGCTGCTGGAAACAGACTTAACCCTACATCTGTGTGATACCCTGGAGCCTTCTTAGTACTGATGTCTAACGCCATAACAGGGTTCTGGCCTGGGTCTGGCCTGGCATATGGCCCTGTCACAGATATTCCCATCATGCTTTAGAGAGATGGCAGCCTCTGCCACTTCTACTCAGACTAAGTGGTACCCAAGAAAGCAGATGGCTACCATTAAGAAAGACTCCAAAATCAATCCAACGGAGGCTGCAATAGGTAGTAAGAAAAATATGGTCCTCCACGAAATGCCCAAAGTTCTCACTATCACAAGGAACTAAGCCATTTAAAAACAGCTTATAACCAAAAGAAAGAAAAAAAATAAGGAGCACAAATCTTCATTAGATATGCATTAGGGGTGTTCATTTAAACACATTTCTCTGACTAATTATATT